AAATCAGTAATATGAGATGCATTCATCCCATAAAAGAATGTGCTATGACAAAAGGCCTGGATGAGAACAACTTTTGGGAAAGCAAGGCTCTGTGAAATTCAATGAAAATGTCAGCTATACTCAAATCATTGCGGGAAAATTCGATTACCAGTCCTTCATCACCTTAAACAAAATTGGGTGAATACATCTCATATTACTGATTTAATGGTACTGATTCAATTTTACATACGAAAAAGAAATGGCATTTATTCACAGCCTGCAGGCGGAATGAGAGCCAATTTCTCCACTTTTCCTTCGGGCCCTCCAAACGCCTCGCCAGTATCAGTTAACCTCTTTGCCCCAATTGATAAGCTCCCATTTTCACATCCACTTGGCCGTGAATGAAATGCGCGCAGTCTACCAGTCAAGTTACACCCCAAAACGGGGTGAAAGCGAGCATAGACAGTGCACGACAAGCGCACAGATCACCAATGGACAAGCTGAAGGCGAACAGACCGGCCAATCAGACGGCCAACCTTTAGGTCACCCAGATTGCCGCATGTGCACTTCTCGGCTTCGCCTCGGTCGCAAACGCCCCACAGGGCAAATTCTTGAAGTACCATCCTGGTGCGTGTGTGCCCATGTGTGTATGTGCATGTGTTTATGTGGGTATGTGGGTATGGATCGTGTGGAAAATCAATGTAAAACTGGTTGCTATGTCCTAGTGACAAGACTTTGTGTGCAGTCACCTCGATATAATCGTCCTCGATTCTACTGGAATCCAGACGCGAATGTCTTTGACTGGGGCAAATTGTCAAACTATCTAATGTTTTCACTCAAAGACTGTACAACAAAGCCCAAACTTTTCGAGTAGTTGTTAGGCTCTCAATAGCTTCACCTTTTTTGTGGAGCCTGTATACCGGATATAAACGCAAATTGGTGATGAAATAAACTTCACCAAACCCGGAAGGCTTAGAAATAGGAAAATTCACAAATTGGCCATAGTGAAGAAGATAACTTTTTAAAAATGCAAGAGCATCACATTTCTGGGGATTGTTGTGCTTGGCTGAATTCGCATCTTGGTTGAAGCTAAATGGGTTGCATTAAAGGCTTTATCTTCAATCTGTTACTTTGTACCTAATTATGAGCTTTACTGGTTATACATTTAACAACGGCAATACCTACCAATGACATACAGTGGTGTTTTTGAACGTGCAATTTGGGTAGATGACCCAAATTAGGTGATAAATCTATTTAGGCTGGATTTCTGATGCATCTTAAGCGGCATTTAGTTAAATGGACAGCATCAGGAAGGGCTCACTACTTTCATCATTCTCTTATTCTAAATTTTCTTAAATTTTCTGAGAAACAGCAATCTAGATTGTAATAAAGTTTGCTTTTAAATTGGCCGAGAATATTTACATAAATTTTTTGAAAGTTGGCCACAAGTGAAAGAATATGAACACCAAATTCAACTTCACACTCTGGTACAAAAAGATATACACGATTGTCTCTCAAGCTTTACAGGCACTGGCCTATTAATTTCTTAATAGTCAGAATAGACGAAGAAAGCATACATTTCTAGATCATTTATTCGTTTAACATGACGAATGTGTCAGTCAACTTTATGGCATGGCTCAGTTACGCATTGATACACTTTTGCTTCAGCTCTTCACCTGGCTCAGCCAAGTAGTCCATCGGACCCTAACCGATCAGAACTCAATGGGTGGAACCATTCAATCAACCGGAGACTTTGAAGATGCCCATCATCGTCTCGAGCGTGAGATGATCTTTCGAGAACGTGACTTTGATGCACTTAGAGCTCAGACGATGCGACTTTCCAGTGAGGACAGACCAGGTGTTCAGGTGAGCGCCAAGATAAAAGCCTACTTACACTGACGAAAAGCACGAAAAGAAAGAATAA